AAGTGTAAGAGTCTAAGCATATGCATACATAGTTTGACCTACACAATGATCACATCTAAAATTTTTAGAGCTATAAAGAATTGAGAAAACTAACATTTTAAGAAAAGGAAAAACGTGTCCTTAGCATAGGCTACATATTTAGCCAGGGCTGAAAGTGAAATAGAATAAATATTAGATTCCACTCTATTAAAGCCTCACATCACTAATTTTTGAGGGGTGGTATTTTCCATGGGTCTCACTTAATTTCTACACAGATATCTCATTTTGGGCCTGGGCTGTTGCTGAAGTCTGACTCGTATAGCTGTGCTACTGCCATATGAAACATGCAGACCCATTTTTGTTTAAATAATATCCATTGCTGTTGTTTGCAGCTCTAGATTCTCATTCTAGGTGCTTCAGAGAACCCTTTAGGCATTGGCTGTCAGTAAATGTAATACTGTGTCTTTGACTAGTGAGAAAGCCAGAGTTCTGACAAATGAATAACCCCTATAAGGCTGGAAAAAAATGAGCATTAACAGGAAAAAATTCCATTTAAAGATTTTTTTTGCATTTGACCTATGTTTGATTGTCATAATCAGTAAGCAAATATTTCTAGATTTTCTTTTTCAAACACTGAAACCCACTTAGCCCAGAGATAGCACAATCAATGTAGAGCAGCACAGAAGCAGAGCTGGGGGTCCAGTCCTTCTAACTCTAGGACCAGTATTCATTAAGTGAGGTTTTTCTAAACTGGTAGGCCAGGCAGAGAAAGAATAAAATGTTTTGCTCCATTCCTTTAAATCTTTTCTCCAATAGAGGAGATTTTTCTTTTCCTCCAGCATTGGATGCTGACCCTCCAGTCACCCCCAAGTTACTGGTGGCTCAGGCTGAATTCAGTTTGGCTCCACAATTCTGAGACTTGGACCAAAACTACTGCAGGTGAAGCCCAGAGGATCTGGCTGGAGTCTGGCAGGCCCTGCTGGCTGGCTTTCCTTCTTGCTGTGCTCCATCAGAGAAAAGTACACACACAAGGTGGGCAGGGACTTCACTTCCCTGTGTGCAGGAGGCATGAAATGTGAGCCCAGTAGGGGCAGAAGCCTGCAGAGGACCCTGCGTGAATGCTATGTGCTCTGGTGGATTCTGAACAAATAATGGAAGCAGAGGAATTGTTGAGTTGTGAGCCATGGATTGAGGGGAGTCAGTGCAGGAGGTAGCTGTCATATCCATTCTCAGGGGAAACCATTCTTTAGTCTTTTTCTTTCCATTTAACCCACTATTTTAAAACAAAATAATGCTGAATCAGTGTCAAGTTCCAGGCAATAACATCATACCTGGTGTTATTTAGCAATATTTAGAATCATTTAATACAAGAGCCAGAAAGAATCTTAGGGATCAGCTAGTCCACTTGATTCCTGTTCCAGAGGCTTAAACTGACTCAGAGAGGTTAAGTGACTTGTCTAGAACTGTACAGCAAGTCAGTGCAGAGCCTGGATGAGGACCCCATGACCTGCTGCTCGGTCCAACATACTTTCCTTTACTCCCACTCATTTGGGAATTTCACAAGCAGCTCCCTCAGCTTTTGAAAGGAAGGATCTGCCCTGAATTTCATTCTGCTCTTGGAGAACGTATGGAATTATTAAATAGATTCATAAGGAAGGAGAAAGTAAAAAACAAAAAAGTTAATTCCCTTTTTCCCACTGTCTTCCAGTTAAGAGTCTGTATGCCAAAAGGAGGTAGTGGGAAGTGTCTATGACATAGGATCGTGACGCCATCCTTAAATATCCTTGGGAAGGAGAACTGCTTCCTTCTCCTGGACTTTGCTCCCATGATCTATGACATCACAGAATATTCAGGACTTCATAGAATCCCAGGCATTGGGTAGGATTGTTGGGAACAGAGGAGCCAGGGCTCTGAACTGAACCAGATGTTATAGGAGCTTAGAACATCAGGGCTGAAAATAAAAAACTTTCTACTTCAATCTATTTCATTTCATAAATATGGAAGCTGAGGGATGGTGATAATTTCAGATACCAAAAGTGTTTTCAATATCATCACTATATCACTTGTTAATCATGTACTATATATCAGGCCCTTCACATGTTATCAAATTTAATCATCACAACAAAATTTTGAGGAAGGCCAGGCAGTTCAAGACAGCCTAAGCAATATAGTAAGACACTGTCTCTACAAAAGATAGAAAAAATTAGATGGGTGTGGTGGTTCCTGCCTGTGGTCCCAGCTACCCAAGAGGCTGAGGTGGGAGGATCACTTGAGCTAGGGAAGTCAAGGCTGTAGTGAGCTGTGATCACACACCACTGTACCCCAGCCTGGGCAACAGAGCGAGACCCTGTCTCAAAAAATATTTTTTTTGAGGAAGGTATTATCCCCATTTTACAGAGAAGAAAACTGAGATTCAGAAAAGTAAAATGATGCTACGTTATTTCACATATTAGGGGCCAGAACAAAATTGAGATTAAAGTAGCTGGACTCTCTGATTTTTTTTAAGTTATTTAATACTGCTTCTTGGGAAAACACAAAAAAAGACCCAATTAAATAAGTGTCTCATTTCCTCACACTAGGTAGCTCCACAGTAAGCACCTAGTTGCTTATTAGCTGTTTCTCCTCCAACCAGGTTAGGGTATTACAGCAAACCTAAGCACTCTTCTGACTATTCTTTCATTGAAAAAATATTCAACAATTATTTATTAAGGTTTATGTGCCAGTCACTGTACTGTTGACAGAAACATAGGACCAATGAATACATATCTGGAGAGCTCCAATGAGAGTAAAACAAAATGCTTTTTAAAGATTTCATAGGCCGGACATGATGGCTAACACCTGTAATCCCAGCACTTTGGGAAGCCAAGGCAGGTGGATTACTTAAGTTCAGAATTTGGAGACCAGCTTGGCTAACAGGGTAAAACCCTGTCTCTACTAAAAATACAAAACTTAGCCACGCATGGTGGCACATGCCTGTAGTTCCAACTACTCGGGAGGCTGAGGCACAAGAATCTCTTAAACCTAGGAGGTGGAGGTTTCAGTGAGCCGAGATCTCAGCACTGCACTTGAGCCTGGGAAACAGGGCGAGACTCCGACTCAAAAAAAATATTTCATAAACGATCCCACCAGCTAGTAACATCAGAACATACTTAACAGCTAAGAGGGGTAAAACTTAAAATCACAGGGTCAGTGTAAGTCCTGGCTGTGCCACTATTGGTTGTGTAACTTGAGAAAGTCTCTTAGCTTCTCTGAGCCTCAGTTTTCTCATCTGTAAAATAAAGATTAAAATCCCTACCCCATGAGGATCAATTCAGAAAAGGGATGCAAAATGATACACAGCCATGTTAATGTGAAGGAAATGGTGTGCCTATTTACGTGAGTGTTTCTGCATAATCTCTTAAATCTCTATTGTTGTTGGCTGTCCCTTGATTAGTATCACTGTATCAATCTTCCTGCCTGCAGCAGAAAAGTCTTTCCACCAGTGATTAGAAACAAACCCTGGTTCTACCAGAATATTGGAAAGCTGGGTGAAGACTTTATTCCTACTTATATCTTCCTGCTCTTGGGACTCTAGATCAATGCTGTCCAAGAGACCTCCCCTCAATGATGGAAATATTCTATCCTACATTTGGCTGTTGAACACTTGAAATATCGCTAACCTGACTGAGGAACTGAATTTTTAATTTCATTTAATTTTTATTAACTTAAATAGCCACAAGTCCTGAGTCTGATGGCACACAGTTGTCTGGGTTCTGCCAAGAAGAGCTCCCCTTCCACCACTTCCTGGTTTGTTTTATCTCACAGATATCCATCAATAGCAAGCAAAAATCATCTTTCTCTTACTGTTTCTGTGATTCTCAAACTGTACTGTGTAAGATAATCACCTGGAGATCTTGATAAAACAGTTTGGTGGACCAGGCATGGTGTCTCATGCCTGTAATCCCAGTACTTTGGGAGGCTGAGACAGAAGAGTTGCTTAAGTCCAGGAGATCAAGACCAGCCTGAGCAACACAGTGATACCCACCCCCAACTCACACCCCCATTTCTACAAAAAAAATTTTTTTTAATGTTTGATGGGCCTACCCCAAGAGTTTCTAATTCAGTAGGTCTGTGGTAGGGCCTAAGATTGTCACTTCTTCTTCTTCTTCTTTTTTTTTTTTTGAGACAGAGTCTCACTCTGTTGCTCATGCTGGAGTGCAGTGGCATGATGTTGGCTCACTGCAACCTCTACCTCCCAGGTTCAAGTGATTCTCATGCCTTAGCCTCCTGAGTAGCTGGGATTATAGGCATATATCACCACACCCCATGAATTTTTGTATTTTTAGTGGAGATGGGGGGAGGGGTCTCACCAGGTTGGTCAGGCTGGTCTCGAACTCCTGACCTCAGGTGATCCACCCACCTCAGCCTCCCAGAGTGCTGGGATTACAGGCATGAGCACCGCACCTGGCCGAGATTGTCATTTCTAACACATTCCTGGGTGTTGCTGATGCTGCCAGTCAGGAGACCACACTTTGAGAACCACTGGGTTAATTTAGCATCTCATGGGGAGACAGCTGTGCTATAGTGAAATGAGCAGTAGATCTGGAGATCTACTTGGACACAAAATGCTGGGGCAGTAGTTGTCAACTGGGCTATCCCACTTTGGAGTCACCTGGGGAGCTAATTCTTAACCCCTAGGCTCCACCCCAGACCAATTAAATGAGAATCTCTTGGTGCAGGACCCAGACAAGAGTTGTTTCTTCAAGCTCCCCGGGTGATTGCACAGTCAAGGGTGAAAACCACTTTGCTAATTTGACTTAAGTAAATTTGTCTATTAAGTGATAACAATAAAATTTGCTGTATTTGTATCAGAGGGTCATTGTAAGAATTAGATGAGACTGTGAATGTGAAGGGGCTTTATAAACTGTGACACCTAAAAGGAAGAATTTAGGCACTGATGGTCTTGGAAGGGCCTGTTTGCAATTGATGCCATTATCCCCACTGAAGCAGGATAATGCTGCTCTCTCTGGTTTGCATTCTAGTACTGTCCCACTGACCAGGCTGCTGCAGGCACAGATGCTGAACACGTGCAACAATTCTACAACCTCCTGACAGCCTCCATTGATGTATCCAGAAGCTGGGCAGAAAAGATTCCGGGATTTACTGATCTCCCTAAAGAAGATCAGACATTACTTATTGAATCAGCCTTTTTGGAGCTGTTTGTCCTCAGACTTTCCATCAGGTAATTACTACTATTTTATCTTCAGTCTACTCTTTTCTTTGAAGAAGGCTGAAACCTTCTGTGTTTATAACTGAATCACTGGTGAAACGTTTTATCAAGAAGCAAATGGGAAATATGATCAGGCATTAAAAAAACTGAGCAGCGAGTCATGGAATGAGCACTAGGCTTGCCACTGGGACCCCTGGCTTCTAGTCCCAGTTCTGCTGTAGACTTGCTGTCACACCCTGAGCAGGTCATTTGCATGACCAGAAGTTCAATTCCCTCCTCCTTAAAAGGAAGAGGTTGGATTTGGTGATCTCTTGAAGTCCCCTGCAGCTCCCACATTCTATGATTCTGGAAGGATTCTCATGGTGCATAAGCTATTTCCTGGGAGCAAGTGTTTGCTTTGGAACATTGTATTTACCTCGTGGGTTTCTGTTTAACAAGTTACTATTCTAGCACACCTGAAGGGATCCTAAAGAGTTCCCACAGCTTCTCAATTCCCAGTTTTATTCCAAGAGAACACCCTTAGATTGAAAGATTTAGTCTATCCTGTCATACTCAGTGACACCACAAAAAGGAAAAGTGATTTTTTCAAAAAGATAGAACCTTGGATCTAAGCTTCTCTAGTAAGTTCCACATGTAGACTCTTTAAAGTTTATTTTATTACTGTTTTTATTTACATATAACTTGTTTAACTCATGTTCCTTGCTTCCTTTCAGTTATATATTTTTAGATGATACCGACTTTTAGCCAAATATGATCAGAAAAATTCATCTTTCCCCTCTTTCTCTTTCCTGCCATCCCCTCCCCAGTTTCATATTGTTACCAGAAACTCCTGTTTAACTTTTAAAGTGCAGATTGCCAGGCCTCATTGCCATATATTTTGGTTTGGTAGATTGTAGGAGAAGTCCAGAAGTCTGCATTTTTAACTCATGCTTTTAACTATTCTGATGCCAGTCGTCAGGGTCCATGTTTTAAACTCTGAGACTGAATCATTCTGTCCTGTCTATGCCTTCTGTCGAGGGATCAGTAGGAGAGATTGGGTGGAGTTACAACTAGAGTACCAGTAATACCTTAATTTGTAGCCACTCCAGTATACACCAGAGCTGAGCCAGCAATGTGACTGTCATCTATTAGACATGCAACAAAGGACTGAATAGACTCTAAGCTCCATGCAGGCGGGTAGCGTATACGGCCTATTCACCAAGTTTTCTCTAGTGCCTGGCTCCAGGAATAACACATACTTCATGCTCATTAGACACTTGGCTGAGTGAAGGAATGAATGAAGCTGTTCATCCAAGAAGCACAAAGAGATATTTGACTTGTTAATACAACAGGCCAAGATAGATAAATACGTGGCAAGAGATTTGAAAGTTAAAGGAAATCTAAGATTAAAGGAAGGACCACATAGAATTCAGCCCATTACTTGTTATACCCAATACTTGTTGAACCATCCTGTGTACTGGGCACCATGCATGGGCTTGCAAATCTTTTCTTTAATTCCCTCAACAATCTTAGGTGGTAGCAATTAGAATTTTTGTTTTATAATTAAGGAAAAAGAAGTCCAGAGAGATTTAAGAAGCACCCAAAGCCACACCCCTCAGTCTTGATGTCCCACTGGAAATTCCAGGGCATCGTTCAAGAAACAAGAAGGAGATGATGATGGACTTAATATAAACTACCAGGACAGATTTAGAAATAGCCCTCGCGGCCCCAATGTTAACAGCAGAGAAGGTAATAGAAAATAAGGACTTGTTTTACATTAGGCCACCCTTCTGTTTGTTATTGACTTCTGGCACTTGCAGGGACTTGGGTTTTTTGTTTTTGGTTTTGTTTATTTCTCTGAGACAGAGTCTTACTCTGTCACCTAGGCTGGAGTGCAGTGGCATGATCTCAGCTCACTGCAACCGACACCTCCTGCCTTTAAGCAATCCTCCTGCCTCAGGCTCCTGAGTAGCTAGGACTACAGGTGTGTGCCATCAAGCCTGGCTAACTTTTGTATTTTTAATAGAGATGGGATTTCACCATGTTGCCCTGGCTGATTTCAAACTCCTGATCTCAGGTGATCCACCCACCTTAGCCTCCCAAAGTGCTGGGATTATAGGCGTGAGACACTGCACCCGGCCAAGGACTTGGTATTTTTAAAGTCTGTACAATGGAATTGTAGTGTCTAGCCTCAGACCTTGGCAGTTTTTAACATTTAAGAAAATCAAGGACAAGCTCTGTCTCAGGAGCCCTGGAAGGAACAGTCTTATGGTCATTGCTGAGAGAGAGGGTGCACTGGGTTTCACTTCCGTAACCCATGAGTGCCTGCTCCCCCATGTCCTGTCCCAAGGAAAGCCAATAATTGATTCTAGTAATAAGACAGCCAGTGCCACAGCCCATATCTTCCCCTGGGCTGATGCTCACCAAAGATATTAGCATAGGCAAGTGGTTCATCCTGGAGAACATAGTCTTGTTCATTTCGGGTATCTGGGCATGCTTCATAGCACCACACCAGGGTCCCAGTGCTGCTCCGTGGCTGTTTGGGTGCCTGTGTGTCATATGTTATCAAGTTGGACAGACTGGACAGACCTATTTAATGTCTCTCTTCCTCTCACCTGCCAGGTCAAACACTGCTGAAGATAAGTTTGTATTCTGCAATGGACTTGTCCTGCATCGACTTCAGTGCCTTCGTGGATTTGGGGAGTGGCTCGACTCTATTAAAGACTTTTCCTTAAATTTGCAGAGCCTGAACCTTGATATCCAAGCCTTAGCCTGCCTGTCAGCACTGAGCATGATCACAGGTAAGCACCACCTTGCCAGAATTGCATCTTCATTTCTCTCCTTCCCTTTGTTATGGTGGAGTCTGGCCTTGACCACCACATACACGAGAAAATGGGAAAATTACTACCATTTTTCCAAAATCTGGTAAGTTTAACCAAGTTTAAGCAAAGAAACAGGCATCTATAATGTGTCATCATAAACTTCTAGGAAAGAGAATCCCTAGTCTATTGAATTGTTATTGTCAACAAGCCCAATATATGAAAATCTAAGTTTACACCAGAGATCTGTGGACAGTGGGACTAGATGCATCAGGGTTTGTTTGTTTTGAGACAGGGTCTTGCTCTGTCATTCAGTCTGGAGAGCAGTGACACAATCATGGCTTGGTGTAGCCTTGACTTCCTGGGCTCAAGTGATCCTCCCATCTCAGCCTTCTGAGTAGTAGGGACTATAGGCACGTGCCACCAGACATACTTGGCTGTTTTGTAGCCCTGTTTCACTCTGTTGTCGAGACTTGTTCAAAGTTCTTTTTACAAAGCCTTTCCTGGGAAGATTACCTTAACCAGCCCATTCCTGTGGAGCAGAGGTGATGAGGCTTCCCCTCTCCCCAGTTCTTGGCTAGCAACCTAAAGTAAACCAAAAAAACTACAGACATATCAAATACAACTTGATTTAATAACTTTTGATTGGCATAGGACTGAGAAAAAGCAAAAATGGCTCAACTCAGTAGTTTTTTATTTTTTTAATGTTATTATCATTATTTTTGAGGTGGAGTCTCACTCCATTACCCAGGCTAGAGTGCAATGATGTGATCTCAGTTTACTGCAACCTCTGCCTCCTGGATTTAAGCAATTCTCCTGTCTCACCTTCCTGAGTAGCTGGGATTACAGGTGCCTGCTACCATACCTGGCTAATTTTTGTATCTGTAGTAGAGATGGGGTTCCATTATGCTGGTCTTGAACTCCTGACTTCAAATGATCTGCCTGCCTTGACCTCCCAAAGTGCTGGCATTCCTGGTGTGAGCCATCGTGCCCAGCCAACTCAACAGTTTTTTAACCACAGGCATAAAACATATTTGATTTATGCCTGTCTCCCTCTATACGTCTCTCTCTTTCTATCTTTTGGTAGATAAAGAATCCCAAGGTGGGGTGGGATGGAGGAAGGTGCATGTTGGGCAAGGGATGGAATACCATCTCCTTGTGCCCATGGAGGCCCTGGCCCCAGCTCCCTTTGCCCTTTCATCCTTTTAGAGGGTCCTGTTAGACTTCATTCTTTTCAGTCAGACTGGGGCCTGGGGAGGCGGTGACAGAGGGTGAGTGCTCCAGAAGTGGCCAAATGAAGGGCTCATCCTTGTCCTTTTGGTCAGACACAAGCATAGGCTTGGCTGTTGAACTGAGAGTTCAAGATCAGATTAATATGCTCTTGGCTGTAGAAAACATGTTTTTCAGGCAGACAGTGAGTTTCCAGAGCACCAAATGCATCCTCTGGTACAGATGGCCCCTTCTTTCTGTTTCACTGGAATATTGCATTGATTTGCCCAGGCATTGTTTACATGCATTTCTTGTGACATGTCTTTTTAGCTAAAGTTAGATGTGTCTGTGTGCCTTAAGAAGCTAGGCTGGTTCATCATTTGATGGTTAACATTGAAGGCAAAGACAAGTAAATGGTATGGTTGCAGTGAGGATTCAGACACTAGCTGTTTCTTCAGTATTCCTAATGAAAACTGACTTCCTTCTGGTCTTTGGTCCAGGATGAGAAACTCACTTTTTTTTTTTTTAAATGGGGCTGCTAGACTTCTAAGAGAGCCATTAACGAAACAAAAACCAAGGCAGTCTCAAAGAGTATGGATTTCATTTGGAGGGCTTTCAAATGGCATACCGGAGCATCTGAATAAAATAAACATATTTAAGGCGCAAGCATATTACTACATCGGGACTGGAAGGAAACTGGTTCAAGGCTACCTTTGAACTAAAGCTCTTTAGCTCAATTTCAGCAATTCCTATGTCAGTTAAACATTCAAAACTAGAAAGTATGGAGTTTAGTTCATTTTTAAAAGACAAAAACAAAAAACTAGATCCAGCTTCGGATTCCTGTAAGTAAAGGCGTTCATTGCCTCATCTCTATGGGAATGAGTGTTGAGTCCAGTTAATCAGCAAATATTCCCTGACCTAGGCACTATGATGCATGTCATTAGGTTTTTCAGAGATGGTAACACATATCCCTAGAGGATAGAGACATGCAAAGTACTACATGTGATGCAAGGTGTTGAGTGCCACTGTGGAGACAAGGGAATGAGAGTCCAAAGTACTCAGAGACATCAGGTGGGGTGGTCCTCTAAGAAGAGATCACAGGAGCTGGTCCTTTGTAAATGTAGAAGATGTCTCTTGGCTAAAATGGAAAAAGTGAAGATCCAGGCATAAATAAACATTTGCCAAAAGCCATTGAAAATATGGCTACATTTCAAAAAGGAAACAGCTGAAAAATGGAATGACAGGAGATATGACTGGTCTGATAGGTCAGGGTGGGGTGGGACATGAAGAACCTTCCACACCTAGGTGAGGGGAGCAGAATTTATCTTGAGCATAACAAGGATCCACAAGTTTTGACCAAAGGAGCTTGACGGTCAGTTTTGCATTTTAGAAAGATTTACCCTGTCAAGTACATTTTGGGCACAGATTAGATTAGAATGGGGAAGAATCTAAGAGGAAAAAGGCCAGTCCAGGTGTGAGAGCCATGATTCAAGAGGAGGGCCCATCCCTGAAGCCCACACCTTCATTTCACTCTTTAAATGGAAATTGATAGAGATATAAGAGGCCAGGACATGTGGGTTCCAGGAAGACCCAACCCAGAGAGACTGGGCAGTTCAGTGCAGAGAATACAGAGTAGAAATTAGGAGAATGGTGGTGCCAGTCCTCTTTCTGCATCCCATTTGTTCTGTGCCCTGCAATTACAGCTCCTTAGCCCACTGCCCATTTATGTGGAGATTGGCTGTGGGAGGAGGCAGTTTGGCATGGCAGAAATAGCATGGACTTTGGAATTGAGCACTCCCACATTTTAATCTTCGGCCCCAAGTTTAATAAGTAGGTGCTATTGGGTAACATGTTTCAGTTCCCTGAAGTTCAGTTTCCCCACTTGTAAAATGAGGATAACCATGTCTATTCCATAGGGCAGCAGTGAGGTTTACAGAAAATTCAGTTGGCATTGTAACCAAACTGGATTCAGGTTAGGCAATTCTGAATTCACCTATGGTCCCCCTTGGAGTGATAGTGACAGATTCCCTCAAGTTAGGCATATGTCTTCCCCTACCCCTTGGAAACATCAAACTCAGTGGCATGAGGAAACAGGTGGTAGCTTCAGAAGGTAGTATATTTGGTGACAGTCACCTTGGATGCTTGAGAGAGTGGCTTAAAGGACAGTGATATTAAAGTAATTAAGCTGCACTTAACAAGCACTTACAATGGGCCAAGTGCTCTACAGCGGTGTCTTGGGGCCTCCTGGACCAGGTATCTCCTGTTCCTGCCCTCATTCCTGCTGTAGGTTTTAGCTTACAACAAGTTTTAGGCCTTCTTGTCTAATTTCTGGACCTTAAAACACTCTGTGATTTACTGGTTGAAAGTGGGTTTGATACGTGTGAAAATATCAGGAAATGTTAGAAAAGGCGATGCTTGGGAAACAGTATGCATTGCTGTGGATATTAATTTTCATTTGAATATGAGCTGCCATGGATCTAGACTTCTGAATAAGCTTCGTTGATGATAAAGGGTGACTGTGGAGTATCAGCTGGGCTATTTACATTAGAAAATTCATCCCAAAATTGTCTTTTCTTAAACCACAGAGGAGAGCTCATGAAAAGGAAATGGCATCTTAGAAGTTTAACTAGGCTTGCTTCCAGGAAAAGTATTAAGAATCTGGACAGTATTGGGTAGTTTGCACGAACATGGCTTTTTTTTTCTGATTCTTTTTTCTTTGTACTCCTCCTCTCTCTGTACACCCTCAAGAAAAACTAGGTGGTGAAGTGGGGCAGGAAATGGTTTCATTCAGATCACTCTCTTTTCCTGCAGTAAATAGGGGGTTTCCCCACAGTGGTTGGTTTTCAAACGTTTTTTAGATTCCCTATTTATCTACCCTAACCATTGCCTTTTGCCAGTGCTGCGTCTCTGAAGTAATGGAAGTGCTTTGAATCTGATGGGATACCAATGAGCTGATATCTGGTTGCAGTTCATGTTTATAACTGCAACCAAATATCAACCTGTTGATAAATAAGAAGCACCACCACCACCAAACAGAAAGTTAGTGTGGAATTTTTTTCATAAATATCCATTCATTAAATAAGCATTGAGGGCCTACTGTGTACCAAGCATTGTGACAGTCTCTAGTGATGCAAAGATGAGCTAGGCATGCATTCTTCTGCCAGGAATTGGGTAGTCTACTAGGAAGCCATAGATTATGATATATGAACTTGATGTATTAGTGATTAGTGCTTAGGTCCTGAAAAGGGACAGATGCAGTGTGATGGAAGTCCCGATTACTGCTAACTTTTCTGAGGTGAAGGAAGGTAGAAGTGTTGGTCATGACTGGCTTCCCAAAGAGGTAGCATCTAGACATGGGAAGATATACAGAACATTCCAGATGAAGGAAAGAGTATAGCAAGGGCATGACAGTTGAATGCCTCAGTGCAGTTAAGGGGTAAAACAATTACAGTGGAATTGCATGCATATGTTAAAATCACACATATGATTCAAGTAGCAAGAGGAGAAAAATTAAGAGTGCAGGCTGGCTTGGCGTGGTGGCTCAAGCCTGTAATCCCAGCACTTTGGGAGGCCAAGGTGGGTGGATCACGAGGTCAAGAGATCGAGACCATCGAGGTCAACACGGTGAAACCCTGTCTCTACTAAAAATACAAAAAATTAGACGGGCATGGTGGCGCGTGCCTGTAATCCCAGCTACTCAGGAGGCTGAGGCAGGAGAATTGCCTGAACCCAGGAGGCGGAGGTTGTGGTGAGCCGAGATGGCGCCATTGTAC